TAAATTTTGGTCAATGACATGAGACAAAGTATATGTGAACTGCTGTATGAAAAGTGAATTTACTCTGTAAATCTTCACCCAAATCCTAATAAAAAAATAAAATAAAATAAAATGCAAGTAGTCCTAAGAGACTCAATTATGCGCACACTCACTCTAAGGAGACAGACACTCTCAGGTAACTAAGTTAGAATTCTTTAAAGCCCCATTTCTGCTATTCTGTAACACTGGGCAGAAGCATCATAGTAAATGGGCTTTATTTTTTAAGATCTGATGAATAAGGAAAGCCAGGTAGCCATATGTGTTTGTGTATGTTCTGGGGCCAGAAAGCTTCCTGCCTGCACAGTGAGTTTGCCTCTCTGAGGTTTGCATGTCTCCCCTGTTGGGGATCACTGAGCATTCCAGACAGCAGAGCAGGAATACCTCTGCTCACACTGACCAGAGCTTCGCCACCCTGATGGCCTTCATTCTAACATATATGGCACTGCAAAGCCTGCAGGATTTTTTTTAACCTGGAGAAAATGGCTGGTATTAGATTTTACCAAATAATCTTGGGCAGGGTGTCTTAGGGTGTCCTAATGGACAAAGGGGAACACCTACCTTTCAACTCGAGTACTTGCACGATGGTGCTGTCATCACCAGCAATGAAGAAGGAAAGGGCAAACTGGATGTAGGCCAGCCGAACATCAGACACGCCCTGGGGGGAGAGGAGGCCACGTGTCACCTGCACAGACTACACATCCCCAACCCAAGCAGGAGTACAGCGGGCAGAACCCACTTCCTGGCCCAGTTCACGAAGGCTCCCAGCCCCATACAATCACAGGGATATGAGCTTGAAACCACCATTCATCTCCTTAGGAAAAACAAATCTTTTTCTTTTGCTCCCACCCCACCCCCTGCCATCAATTTTTCTACTGTACTATTTTTCTTTCTCTCTTAAGTCCTATTCTAAATTCATAAATATGGGTAAAAAGCAGTTAAGGGTCCTTTTCCCCATTCAAACAATGTAATCTGTAAGTATCTTTAGTTTATGGACTACATTGGTCCAGAGCAAAATTCTCCACCTTCTTGGACAGCATCTACTCTCACTTGTCAATGAAAACAACATACCTATGCTTTCAATTCAGAGAAAATGGGAAGACTAGTGCTACTTTTGGTCAGACACCTATAAGGCAATGTCTGATTTTTATTAGATATTATAAATACGTTATCCACTTGTACCAGACACCAAAGCACAGACACTGACGTATCATGACCTCAGCATGTGGCCACTATACCATGGGTATCAGCCATGATCCAGGTCTGGGGGCATCCTTAGTGAGGGCTCAAAGGCCAGGACCAGCAGCCAAGACTTTTGGGAAGTCACCAGGGCCAAGTGATCAGCTTTCCCTTCTAGTTACTATAAGACAAACCACATCTCAACATCCCTGATTTGCTTCTAAAGACACCAAAGCACACAGTCCTATGGGTCTTTGTCAGCTACACTGGAGTCAGTAAGAGTATGGAGACACTCCACTGCCCCAGCCAAAAGCTTTTCCTTACTTCACAGTTACTCCAAAGTTACCTTAATTCACTGACAGAAAATAAATTAGTATTGTAGAGAATATTGTCCTGAATGCCTGGAAAGATTAAGGAGTAAATACCCTCCAGATACATCTGTTCCACTTCATAGTAGTATCAGAGGTGGTGGTGGTAGTAATGATGATGATGATAACAACATTTACTGAGCATTTACTACATACCAGACACTATGTCAAATGTTCCATGTGTTATCTCACTTATTCTTCACTAATAATTTAAGAGAAGCTTGCTGTCTTAGTTCCTATAGCACAAATACCACTAGAGGGTGCTTTAAAGAACAGAAATTTATTTTCTCACATTTCTGGAGCCTCAAAGTCCAAAACAGCATCTTAGTATGTGAGTTCCTTCCTTGTCAGTAGCCCTGGGTGCTCTTTGGTTCCTTGGCTTATAGACAACCCTCCCTCACAAGGTGTCTGATTCCCCTGTGTGTGTCTGTGTGTCTAATCTGGTCTTTTTATAACTCAGAAGTGATTAGGTTTACGATCCACTGTGGTATGGCCTCATGAACATAAACAAGAAAACCTTATTTTCAAACAGGATTACATCTACAGTTACAAGAACCAAGACTTCAATACACATTTTGGGGACACAATTCAATCCACAACATTTACTATCCCCATTTTACAGTTGAGGAAAGTGAGATTTAAGTAGCTCATTTGAGGTCACACAGCTACTAGGTGAGTAAGCACTGGTACTGGGATAAGAAAGAATTCTACACACTGCTCTATCCTGGAGCATATTTAGAAACACAAAAGTTCTGTCTTCTTCTCAGTGTTTCCATGGCATTTTCATTTCACTTCTCAAAGTGCAAGGGCCATACTTGGCACCATTTAGGTCTCTATACCAGAACTTAATTAATTCTGTCTTATTTCCTGGGTACATGTTTCTTCTTGGGAAGAGGAAGGCTGTCCAATCCATGCTCTCTAACATCTGGATCATGGTCTCACATGTCAGTTGTATTTATTGCATCCACCTCAGTTCACATCACACAGCATTTCAGTAAGAACTGCTGGTCAATGCCGATTTGCTTCAAATATGAGAACTTTAAGCTATCCTCTTCTCTTCTGGGATCTGTGGGTGTCTTTATAAAATGGAGCTCTGGCATAATGAGAACTGAAATCCCAACAATGAGCTGTATTTCCTTAATGTCTCCAGCACTCCAGTGCCTTCACTCACCAACTCAACATTTATAAAACACCAATCATATTTGGTATGTCATGCTCTCAGGCTGACGGAAGAGGCAAAGATAACCAAGATAACATTCCTTCTTCAAGAAGCTTAAATTAACCACTGCTCTCAAGTTATCCAGGTACCTCACTGTTCAAATAAACACATGACTCAATTCAAGTCCAGTTAATTTGTGGTCTACATATGCCTTGTGTTTCAAAATAATGCTAAACAAAACAAAAGCTAAAACATGGCAGGTAAAAAATGTAAGTAGGTCTTATCCTTTCCCATCTAGTGGAAAGGTTCCACAAGGTTCTTTGTCCACTGAAGTAATAAGACTGGGAGTCAGAACCCTGCAATGCTGGTCTCAGCTACCTGCCGTGGATAGATGGATGGAGGGGATCACCATTCTTCTATAACCTTCTATCATGGCTTGTAAACAATACAGGTAGACTAGATGGTCTCTAGGATGCCTCCAGCAAGAAGTTTCTAAATGTAAAACAATTTAGTTGTCAACTCTTGGTAGCCATTTTTTATATTCTGTTGTTGTTGTTGTTATATGCCGTCGAATCGGACCCGACTCATAGCAACCTCTCCTTGGGTTTCCAAGGCAGTATCACTACGGAAGTACCTCATCTTCCTTCCAAGGAGTGGCTGGTGGGTTCGAACCACCAGCCTTCTGGTTAGCAGTCAAGTGCCTTAGGCTCTATGCTACCAGAGCTCCCTTTGTATATCCTAGAAAACCCCAAATTTCTGGTTTCCTGATATTCTAGATGAGATCCCTAACACAAAACATCTTCCCACACTACAGACCCTCTATTTTCATGCTTCTGTTCATGCAGCCGGCCACACACAGCCTCTCACTGCCACTGGGCCTTTGTCCTGTCTCCAGCACACTCCATCAAAGGCGTCCTCCTCCCACTGAAAGGGCCACAGGCCTAATCCTCATTCCTACCCTGTAACCTCACAGGGTTATTATCCCAGGAAGAAAATGTCCTGAACACTTTTAAGACTTGTTCTGCAAAACAATGTCTATAATAGACCAAAGCATATTTGGTAAAACTGTTCTTTGGCACAGGGTTTTTAACAATGCTTTCTTTGGCTAGATGAATATACTCATAATCTTGTCTCTTCCTGAGGCTTTAATAATTCCTTCCAAAGTATTAAAATACACTTATTAAAAAATATGGATGTACTAGTATCATAAACAACTAAATACCATGAAAAGGGGGGAGGAAGAAAAGAAAGATTCAGAGAGATATAAATCAAATGTAATATGTGGACCTTGTTTGAATGCTAATTTGAACTACAAAAGTATAAATAAATTATAATTTTATAAATTATTATACAGTCAGGAAAAACCAAGACTGAGTTGCGTATTTGATGATACTGAAATATTGAGATATTATTAATGGTGTGAGGCACAATAATGGTACTGTGGTTTTGTTTTTCAAAGGTCTTTTTCTGTTAGAGATACACACTGAAATATTTATGGGGAAATATGACTCACGTTTGGGATTTGCTACATTATAGTGCCACAAACACAACCTGAAAAGGTAGGAGGGGTGATGACTGCTAAAGATGGAACACATGTACATGGGGGTTCATTGTGTGATTTTTCATAATTTTGAATATCCCTCACTTTTTCTATATTAAGAAAATATTTTTTTTAGTATCTAGAAACCATTCCTAAACATAAAATTTACTTAAGTTATTTAATATAGAAGATTACACACAAAAAAGTAAAAAAATTTCATCTAGACAATGACACCCATTTTCTAGGTCCTGACGAAGTAAAGTAACTTGCTCTAAAGCCCTGAGATGAAGCAGCTCTTATGCAGGCTTGAAGTGGAAGTCCAAGGAAGGAGTTCAGGAAGGGAAGCCCTAATTGGGCTTCCCCTTATTATCTGGACTTGGTGGGTGGCCTGGGTATTTAAGCATAGTTTACTTAGATGGCTGGGATGGCTGAGGTCAAAAGGGACTGGGGTTGGAAGGGTGAGAGAAGCTGACAGATAATTACTGCCAGGCTTATGGTAAGACCAAAGAACCATGATATTTACTTTACTGTTCAAACATCACACACATTCTTTTTATTAGAAATACATTTAAATGTCAGGAGTCGTTATCACTGAATGGAATTTGTTGACATGTCCATAAAGCACAGTTCTATGAGATGCTCAGACCCAGATTTCTTTTTTTTCTATCTGTAATTCCAGTAAAAGCCTCAACACAGGGCCAACCTCACCGAGGCATAAAAGTTACTCAGCATTATTACTAACTACAATTTAAATCTATTATCTGGCATTATGTGTTGTTGTTGTTGTTGCTAGTTGCTGTTGAGTTGGCCCCTGACTCATGAACAAAGGAACAAAATTCTGTCCAGTCCTATGCTAGCCCTATGACTGGGTATAGATCAAACTGTTGTGATCCATAAGGGTTTCACAGGCTGAATTTTGCAAATAGATCACCAGGCCTTTCTTCCTAGTCTATCTTAGTCTGGGAACACCACTGAAACCTGCTCAGCATCATAGCAACATGAAAGCCTCCACTGACAAACAGGGTGGCTACACATGTGGTACAATGGGCAGGAGTTGAATCTGGGACACTCTCTCACATGGAAGGTGAGAATTCTACCACTCAACCACCACTTAGAAACTTCTAAGAGTTTAGAAAAGAAATTCCCAAGAACATTTAGAGAAAGGTACAAGTGACTACAGAACTAAACTATTCTAATGTGGTTTTGCACCTCAGAGGATAGGGCTGACCTCTGTCAGTCTATTCTTTATGCTCAGGAGGAAATAGCTATGGAGAGCTATGAGCCCCAACTTTTGACAGATCAGGAGAGCCAGCAGGGAAAGCTGCTCTGGCAGACAGAAACAGGCATTCTGACATCCTGTAACCAGCACACACATTGGTAGCATGCTCACCCTCGTGTTTACAAGTCCTCAAGAGTGTCCTTTCTCTTCGAGAATCTTTCCAACCCAAGTGAAATTTCTAGAGCCACCAGAGAATTATTATTTAAACTGCTATTTTGAAAGTCAACCATTCACATTTCCATCTCGTTAGCACCTCATCCCCACCCAATGCAAGAATTATAAATGGGAGGCACAGTCACATTATAAAAATGATGTCACTGGCTTTGACTAGCAAGAGTTGTCTCCAAAGTGAACAGAGTTATCAATCAGAGGACACTCTACAAGGTTCACTGCCACAGAGCACATGGGGATTGTTTCATTTACTCAGTATAGAATGTTCCACAGGCATGTTGATGTTGAGTGTCCTCAGAGGACCAGTCCAGTGTCTGCTACACCCTGGGGCCCCACCACTGGCCAAGAATGTCCTCCCTTCCTCAGACCCCAATGGTTTCCAAGGCACACCCTTCTTCAAAAAAACATCTCTCACTCCTTACACACCAACGTGAGGAGCGAGGAGAAAAATAAACCACTGTGTCCCCCAAAAGGAAAGAGAACAAATGGGAGGTTAAAACACCCTCAGGGTTCCTCACCTTAGAATCCCGCTTGGTCACCAGGGCAAATAAGGACTTTTTATTTAAATCAAAGTGGCTGCAGACATCCCTGGCAGCTTCGGTCCCCTGGGCCACCAGGGCCGCCATTAGGTTCAGACAGGCTCGAGCCAACCTGTGCAAGGACAACTACGAAATCAGTCACATCAGAAACAGCAAAAGCACAAAGCCATCTCGCCATGAAGCAAATGCATACCTGGTTCTACAATTCATTATCCCCTAATCAGAAAAAGAAAGAGGAGACACACTCTAAAAAATAAACAAAACAAAGCTTAACAAAAACTTTTAAAAAGCTAAAAAACTGAGAATGAGGAGGGTTATGAATACAAACTCAAGATACATAAAAGATATTTATCTCTAAGTAAATCATCGTGTAACCGAGAGACTATAAAATCTCACCCCAGTAATTGTGAGACACAGAGAAAGGCCACATCATCTGGGCCCTCCAAGAGTGACCTCTCACACTTTTCCATTCTACAGTTACCCAGAACCCATGGTTTACAGAGCACCCGCTATTACCAGGCCCTGTTCTAGGCACTGGGCAGATAGCAGGGCTCATCTTTGTAAGGCAGTCAAGGCATCTGCCCTTCTGTACTTTTCATGAAGGGAGATAGAATTAAGGAAAAAAAAAAAAAAGAAATAAAAGAGATTGTGTGGTTGTTGCCATTGAGTGGGCCCTGATTCATAGCAACCCCACGCACAACAGAACGGAATGCTGCCCAATACTCTGCCATCCCCATGATGGTTACAGATCAGAAAATGTTCCATTGTGATCCATAGGATTTTCACTTGCTGATTTTTGGAAGTCAATTGCCAGGCCTTTCTTCCTAGTCTGTCTTAGTCTGGAAGTTCCACCTGTTCAACGTCTTAACAACAGGCAAACCTCCACTGACAGACAGGTAGTGGCTGTGCATGAGGTATTGATTGGCCAGAAATCAAACCTGGGTCTCTATGTGGAAGGTGAGAATCCCACCACTGAACTATCACTGTACCCATATATCAAATATATAGCTATACAAACAGATAGAATGCTATAGAGAAAAAATAACAGGAGAAAGTGACAGTGGTTGTGATATTGGACATAGGATGGTCAAAGAGGCTCCCTGAGGTGAAATGTCTTTCTCTGGAAGACAGAAAAAGAAAGAGCAGAGACATCGTCATGACAGTTGTGGAAAATGGTTCAGTTCTCCGTTAGGAGTGCAGGTAATGGTCAAACACACTCTCACAGAGCTGAAGACAGACCAACCCAAAGGCTGGTCCTATGACCTAAAGACAGGCACACAGCAACTTACTTGTAGCCTGAGGCATACAGGGACTCACAGATGAGCTTCATGTGGTTATTCATGAGCTTTTTTACAATGTTGGTTCCTACAACATGAAAATGTGAAAGATCGCTTGCAGTTCGCAGTAATATGGCCTCAAAAACTTGAAATATTAGTAGTATCTGCAAAGACAGAATGGAAAACACTTATGAATAATATTTCTTTTCCTCTAGTACATATAATAATCTAGTTAAATAGAGATTAGCTTGCTTACAATTACATAAAATGAAATGAAAAAAGTAAATTCTATTAAGGATCAGGCCTCACTGCTTTGGGGCATATTCAGATCTACAGCCTTAGAGCAAACTCTGAGATTTCAAATGGTTCATTAATATCCTAAATTTTTAACACCTTTGTAACCAGAAGGAGCCCTGATAGTACAGTGATCAAAGTACTGGGCTACTAACCAAAAGGTTGGCAGTTCAAACCTATCAGTTGCTCCATAGGAGAAAGATGAGGCAGTCTGCCTCTATAAAGATTTATAGCCTTGGAAACCCTATGGGGGCAGTTCTACTCTGTCCTCTATGGTTGCAATGAGTCAGAATCAACCCAATGACAGTGAGTTTGGTTTGGTTTGGTTTCGTTTTGGAACCAGAAGACAAAAGTATGTTTCTGAGTCTGTAACACAAAATTTGTTACTATTTTCTTTTTGTTTAAACAAACCATGTTGACACCAAGTATACTTAGATTCTAAGAATCTATGATCCATCTGTTATTATTCACCAAATGTTATCAAGTTACTGTACTACAATGATTTTAAAGGTCATGAATGTCAAACTGAATGCATTCCTATAGCACAGGGACAAAGTATTTTGTGTAGAAAGCTGGTAATGTCTTGGAAATTTGTATCACATTTCTCATCATCAAGCTTAACACAATAGTAGCATTAATTTTCTTCTTGTCATAAGCAAGGTAAGGAACAACATACCTCACTTTCAGGTCGCTTTTCTCCACTCAGGAGCTGGAAAATTTCTGCACACTCAAGAGAAATCTTTATATATCCTTCCACCACATCATACACCCCTTCTTGAGGCAGCTTCTTGGCAGCAGAGACAAATGTTTCCAAGGCTGAAATAAAAATTGTGCCTGAATGTTAACAAGGACGGTCTCCAATACACAAGAGATGCCTTAGAAAAATCAGAACAACCACTACTGCACCCCACTATCCTGGGCAATGACCACTCCCCAACTCACCCGCAGCCTCAGGGGGCTACTGCTGGAAGTGAGGTGGTACAAGAATATAACAAACTGAGAGATGGTGTAACTCATGGGCTGGAATCCTGGTTCTCACAGTTGCTCACCTGGATCCCCCTCGATGCATCAATTCTCTCATCTACAGTAAGTAACAATGTGTAACATGGTAATGAAACACTACCAAGAGCTTTACCTATACCACATTTAACTCTCCCTGCAACCTCTGCACTAGGTATTAGGTTTTTTGTTTTTTTTTCCCCATGTTACAGTGCAACCTCTTTCCCACAGCTGGTATACTCATTCATTAAATATTTACCTAGTGTCTTTGATTTGTGGGCACTGCTCTGGGCACTGGAGACAGATTCCATCACTGCACATCTAAGGGTAAAATCTAGAGGTGACTCTAAGAAAGTGTTGACAGAGGTGATTGTGGGTCACATGAGCTCATGGGCATCTTCAGAGGCATTTGTAATGCCCCATTGTCTCACTCCAGAAAACTGAGAATGCAAGTGAGAGCAAAAGCTATTATTATAGAGATAGCATAGCTAATACTTATTCGTTTCTTAAGGAATCACTTGCCAATCTGTGACATACAGCTCCTGGCAGTCTGGATGTTGACGGTGAGAACTGCTGGCCTACTACCTTTGCCATCTCTCTGCTCATTTATTCTTCCAACCTTTACTGAGCAGTAACCATGTGCCCAGGCATCACATGAAATACTAGGATATGCTGGTGAGCAAACTGGAAATGGCCTCTACCCACATGGTGCTTGTAATACACTGGCATACTCCATCAAAAGCATCTTCCACCCACTGAAAGGGACACAGTATGAATACAACAAATTTCAAATAATTAAATGCACTCTTTCTTCTACCTCAAACACTCCTGCCCATGTTCCTACCCTATCATACCTGCTAAAAAGCCACTTCATTATGGGAGCCTTCTTTGATCCCCCAGACAAGGTCTGAGGCTTCTGTTAGGCACAATATATACAATTAAGGCATTTTTCTGCTAACCAGGTCAGTGGTTCAAACCCACCAGCTACTCCATGGAAGGAAGATGAGGTGATATATTTCCATAAAGACTGTTGTTGTTGTTAAGTGCCATCGAGTTGTTTCTGACTCATAGCAACCCCATGCACAGCAGAACAAAACACTGCTCGATCCCACGCCAGCCCCACAATCCCTGCTATACTTGAGCCCATCATCACAGCCACCGTGTCAATCCATCTCGTTGAAGGCCTCCCCCTC